TGTGTCTTTAAAAAATTTTAGTAAAGAAAAAAAAACATTTTTAGTAGAGTGTCAATTATACAAATGCAGTAAAGTCAGAATCATTGAGTTTATCTTACTAAAGTGATTCTGAAATTGTTCCTGTAAATGAAAACTTTAGAAAGGAAAACTATGGGGATATGCTATTTAAAAAAATTTTTTAAACTGTATGCTGTATAATTTGTTAGACTTTATAAAATATAACCATTCTTAAACCTATTGATAAACTAAATTAATAGGGAACTTTTTTAGCGTTAGTTTTCAGCATATTGCTTTTTGATTTCTTAGGCTCCGTTTAGGGTTTCTCCCCCCCAGCCCCCTTTGGTGCTTTACAGTTTTACTGTGACGCATCCTTGTGTGCATTTATTTTTATTTTTCTACTTAGTTTGTTTGGCTTCTTGAAACTGTGGTTTATTGTTTTTTATGAGGTCTGCCTTCTGTCTCTTTACCTATTGCTTTTGACCAATGCCTTTATTTTTCTAGAACCCAAATAAACATAGTCTCTCTGTTTTTTACCTTATCTTCCGCATTTATCATTTTTTGTGCCTCTAATTTCATGACTTATAGTTTCTTTGACCTGTCTTAAAGTTCATAAACTGTCTTTATATCAAATCTGCTGTAAAACCCTTCTGTTGAGTTCTTCATATTGGTCATATATCTGTATTTCAATAATTATTTTTCATATTTCAAAGTTCTGTTTGGTTCTTTTTTTGTTTGTTTGTTCAGTTTTTCAAGTCCTGCTGGTCATTTATGGTCATTTCTTCTGGCTTGCTGATAATTTATTTATTTATTGTTTTTTACAGACAGAGTCTTACCCTGTTGCATGGGTAAGAGTGCTGTGCTCTCAGTCTAGATCACGGCAACCTCAAACTCCTGGACTGAGCCATCCTCCTGCCTTAGCCTCTAAAGTCGCTAGGACTACAGGTGCCCGCCACACCTGGCTAATTTTCCTTTTCTAGTAGAGATGTGGTCTGGCTTTTCTCAGGTTTGTCTTGAACTCCTGAGCTCAAGTGATCCTCCCACTTCACCTCCCAGAGTGCTAGAATTACAGGTGTGAGCCATCGTACTTGGTCTGCTTATTGATATTTTAAATTCTATTTGTCTATTAAATATTTGTCTGCTTAAATATTTGCTGTAGTTTTATATTTTATAACCTAGGTGTTACAGTTTAGCTTTCCAACTCTGCTTCAGGGCCCAGGACTTAGTCCTTCTGTTCTCAGTATGAAATAGGCAATTTCCCTCATACTTTCTTTTCACTTATTTGCCTTTTATGACTTTTCCTTTAGGTTTAACCTTACTCACTTTGTTCCTCTTTACTACTTATATAGGATGAACAATGCATTAAAAAGTATTTTTTTCTGTTATAACTAGGATCCAGTTGTAATAGAACAGATAAATTCTCAAAGTATGAGGTCCTTCAGAAGTGACATATACTGTTTTTATTAAAGAAGATGTACATTATTTAAAATAGAACTCTTAAATCAGTAAGATACCATTACCATACTTCCCTCCTGCACAGTTGTTTAGTCCTCTGTTAGCTATGAATGTATGTATGTATGTATGTATGTAGTTAGTTAGGAGATGGCATCTCACTATATTGCCCAGGCTGGTCCCAAATTCCTGTTCTATGTCTACAAAAAACATTACCTGGGTTTTGATAGAAATTACATTAAAATTATATATCAATATGGGGAGAATGGACATCTTTGCCAAATTGAGTCTACCTGTTTATGAACACCAATATGTCTCCATTTGTTAGATCGTCGTTGAATTCTTTCATCAGTGTGGTATACTTATATGCAGACAAGCCCTTCTGTATGTACACATGTATTGTTAGGTCTATACCTAAGTATTTAAAGTTTGGAGAGATTTTATATGATAATGGGCTTGTATTTTTAATTTTAATGTCCATGTTTTCATTGCTACTATATAAAAATACAATTCTTAAATTTTTTATCATGTGTCTTATGACCTTGTTGAACTCAATGTATTAGATCCAGAAGTTGTTTGGATTCCTTAGGGTTTCCTTTGTAGACAGTCATGTTATATGCACGTAGAGACCATTTTATTTGTTCCTTTCTGATCTCTGTGCTTTTCATTTTCTTGCTTTATTTTACTGGCTAGAACTTCTAGCACTGTGTTGAATAAAAGCAATGAGAACAGACACCCTTATCTTGTTTTCGGTTTTGGGGAACAATACAATATTCAGACTTTTGCCATAAAAATGTTAACTGCAAGTTTTTCATAGTTTTTTCAAGTTGAGGAAATTCTCTGCTGTTGCTGTTTTTTTCTGACTGTTTTTCTTATGAATGGATATTGAATTTTATTAAATACTTTTTTGTGCATTGACGTGATCATTTTTTACCATTGATTGATTTTTCAAATACAGAACCATCCTTGCATCTCTTGAATAAAGTCCACTTGGTCATCATCTATAATTTTTTATATTTATTGTGATCTATTTGACACAATAGAAGATGAGCCCTTTTCTTTAGTAATATTTTGCTAAAGATTTTTGCGTCTATAGTCATGAGGAATATGCCTATAGTTTTCTTTTTTATGCCATCTCTGATTTTGTTAGCAGGATAATACTAGCTTCATAAAATGAATTGAGAAGTATTTCTTCATCTGTGTTTTGGGGAGAGAGTGTGTTGAATTGTTGTGAATTCTTTTTTAGACTTTTGGAAGGATTCACTACTTAAGCCATCTGAATTTTAATAATGGTACAGTTCTAATCTTTAAGTGACTAAGGACAGTTTACAGGTTATGAAAAAAAACTTCCTTAATATTGAATATTTGAAGATTGTTCAGCATTCATTACTTTTTTTTTTTTTTTGACAGGGTCTTGCTCTGTTGTTCTGGGTAGAGTGCAGTGGTGTCATCATAGCTCACTGTAGCCTCAAACTCCTGTGCTCAAGTGGTCCTTCTGCTGTAGCCTCCCAAATAGCAGGAATTATAGGGAAATGCCACCAAATCCAGCTAATTTTTTCTAATTTTGGTAGACATGGGGTCTCACTCTAGCTCAGGCTGGTCTCAAAACTCCTGACCTCAGGCAACCTTTCTGCCTCTGCCTTCCAGAGTGGTAGGATTACAGGCATGAGGTACCCACGCCTTGTCCTCATTACCATTTTTTATGATGAGCTTATACATAAGGCATTCTCTATAATAGTAATACCCAAGTCAAAATGCAGAAATATATTAAATACAGAATTAAGATTCAAGGCTCTTTCTGCTGTTGAACCTTATCAGTGATAATAGTTTTGTCAGTGCATTATTCTTTCACAGTAAATGAATGCAGCTAATTTAAATTTTGCTTCAGAGTTTTCCTTATATGTATTATATCTCTGTATCTAAGTTTATTCTAGATTACTTCAATAAATTTAGCAAACTTTTATTATTTGGATTCTATGGGATTTCTTTTCTTTAAGAAGAGATTAAGTTTTCCCTGCAATTTAAGAGAAATACCAGAACAAAAGAACTATTAAATAAAATAGTAAACTGAATCCTGCAGTATATTAAAAGAATAATACACCTACCAGGTTTAGTGGCTTGTGCTTATAATCCTAGCACTCTGGGAGGCCAAAGCAGTGGATTGTTTGAGCTTAGGAGTTCAAAACCAGCCTAAGCAAAAGTGAGACCCCATCTCTTCTGAAAATGGGAAAATTAGCAGGGCATTGTGGTGGGTGCTTATAGTCCCAACTACTCAGGAGACTGAGGCAGGAGGATTGCCTAAGCCTAAGAGTTCAAGGTTGCTGTAAGCTATGATGCCATGGCACTATACCCAGGACGCAGAGTGATACTTTGCCTAAAATAATAATAATAATAAACCATGACCATGAGTCTTTATTCTAAAAATGTAAGGATGTAATGAGATACGTATGTGTGTATGTGTAATAAAAGAACTCATCTTTACGTCAGAGGGAAGCTATGTAATCATTTCAACGGTTTCTGATAAGACAAGCCTGATGGACCCTCTTAATAAACTTAGGTACTTTAACTTTTAATACAAAATATATATTTCAAATTTATTTTCATTTCATACAGTTTTTAAGGTGATAGCACTGCTTTTTTAAAACTTAAGTCATTAGAAATAGAATTTATTGATTGCAAGCATCAAAAAATTCTCTGATTTAAGCAAAACTATAATTTATTGGAAAAGTATGAGGTGGCTGATAGAGTGAGTAGGGACATGGAAGAACTGGGACCAGAGGACGTCAAGAGCATAGGTGTTATTCACTGCCTTATCTAGACTCTTCCTTGGAAATTTAATATCCCTTTTTTTCTTTCCACTTTGTTTAAGATTCAGAGTTACAGGTGAGAGAATTCTGTTAGTAGAGTTGGGTCTCATGCCCTACTTAAGCTAAGTAAGAGTGAGACACTTTAGGTTACATCTAGAATCTACACAATAGGGAGGATATGATTCCCCAAAGAAAACTGGGTGCAATTTGGACAACAAATGGATTCTCGGAAGACAGGCCACACCTTCCATTGTCCACAAAATTAACCAACAGATTTCCAATAAAATAGACAGTTTTGCCTTTTTAACTACTTATAGTTCATCATTCAAAATTGTAGTACTGGCTCGGTGCCTGTAGCTCAAGCAACTGGGGCACCAGCCACATACGTTGGAGCTAGCGGGTGTGAATCCAGCCCGGGCCCACCAAACAACAATGACAACTACAACCACAAAATAGCCAGGTGTTGTGACAGGTGCCTGTAGTCTCAGCTACTTGGGAGGCTGAGGCAAGAGAATCGCTTAAGCCCAAGAGTTTGAGGTTACTGTGAGCTGTGATGCCACAGCACTTTACCCAGGGTGACAGCTTGAGACTGTCTCAAAATAAATAAATAAAATCATAATACTTAGTCCTTAATCCTTAATTACTTCTAAAAAATTTAAATCTCAAATGCCCAAGACCTTAATTTATATATTATTAATAATAATATCAGTATTTTTATACTTATATCTTTATTTTTCTTTTTAGACAATGCGAAGACACAGAAATGAAGTGACAGTTGAACTGCGGAAGGTAAGGGTGATTTTTTGCATTTAGAGAAAAGTAATTAGACATTTTTCCTGATGTTAAAATGCTATATATCGGGCGGCACCTATGGCTCAAAAGGTTAGGGTGCTGGCCCCATATGCCACAGGTGGCGGGTTCAAACCCAGCCCTGGCCAAAAAAAGAAAAAATGGTATATATCTTGAATAATGAAAATACTGCAGCAAATTAGTGGTCTATCCCTAAAACCACACATTATTAGATAGTTTATAATGGTTCTAGGCTCTAATGTGACGTACTTTACCATTGTTGAAATTTTCATAACATCAGATTAATTTAGATATTTTTTCCTTAATAGCTTCTTTTTGTGAGCTGTGTATGGAACAGGATTCCTCTCCCTTTTCCCATGTAGAAGTTTTATACACCTGTTAAAGATACTTTAGAAAAATAAATGAAAGTAGAAAAACCTTATTGTGTCTTGCTAATTGAATGCACCTGCTGTTAAAGTTTATTATATTTTCATCCATTATTTTTGGAGGACTGTAGAGTTATCTTCATCAGATTGTGTTTTGAAGTGAACACATTTTATTTGAAGCAAATATTTAAATTGCCAGTCAAAAAAATACACATAATGAATTCTTTCTATATACATATACATGTTAACAGATAGACTTGAAACTTATTTCAAATCTTAAATTCTTTTTTCCTGATCTAATTCACTCTTAAAACACCTTTCTGTATTAAAGTATCATCTTAAACTTCAGTTTTAGAGAGAGCAAAAGTCTTGATTCTGAAGATATACCCTCATAGTCACTAGAACTAAATAAACCTGTGCATATACTTTTAAATTTAATTGTGATTTATTTAACATGCACTTTGTGTCATACACTGACTAGGTAGCTCTTCAAATCTCTAGTTTTACAAAGTATTAATATTATTTTTGCCAGAAGTTCATATTAACTGTGTTCACAAAATCTTCATCAGAAATTTGTTTATTTAGTTATTCAACCAGGCATCACTATTAGAGCTACCGTCTCATGGAGTTGAATGTTATATAAAAAAGTCACATAACCAAATACATCTTTACAAATTCTAGGTAATGTTATGGAGAGAAAATTTTTTAACAAGGTGTTCAAAGGTAACGTCTGAAGTAATAACTTGAAGGATAAATTGGAATTAGCTTATTTTTCCAAACATTCACATATCAAATTTTGATTTTGGTCCATTAGTGTCATATTCATTGGTGTAGTATATAGTTCTTGAAATCCATTCTCCTGTAACACTTCCCCTCCCATTTTTTATTAATTTTAAAAATACTTGCTAATTCCAGTGTCCTGTCAGTTTAGCTCCTTAATGGACACAGTAGTATTTTGGTAATCATATTTGCAGGTTCTTTCAGATACTTAGGTCATTTGGACCAGAAAGATGAACTAAGCTTTAGTTTAAATAAAGTGAGCTCCTTGCCAGTCTTACCACTTTAGACTTGGTTTTTTTTTCTTTTTTAACCTTTTTTTTTTAAAGACAGTCAGTTTGGAGTCAAATGCTATGGCATCATAGCTCACAACAACTTGAAACTCTTGGGCTCAAATGATTCTCTTGTCTTAGCCTCCTGAGTAGCTGGGACTATAGGCACCTACCATAGTGTGCTCAGCTAGCTTTTCTATTTTTAGTAGAGACAAGGTCTCGCTTTTGCTTAGGGTTGTTTTGAACTCCTGCGTTACAGCAGTTCACCCACTTTGACCTCCAGAGTGCTAGGATTATAGGTGTAAGCCATGAGCTCTACCCATTTGAGAATTTGAACTTGGATGTTCACTGATTGGTAAATCACTTCACCACATGGAAGTTGCTTTGAATATTTAATTTTCTGTTATAATATGAGCTTCTGAAGTGAAGGTAATAACGATATCCACCATTGCCAACTCCCTCCCCTTCCCACAAGCAATTCCCAAGTCTTTCCCTAACCCCCAGTCAATTTAATTGAATTCTAGATGTATTGTTGATATTTATTAAATGCTATTATTCAAGAATTAAATTAGAATTTCTTAAAATTTGTACTTATATTTGAATTAATTGATTTTTTTTGTTGTTGAAGTTTTAAAAAAATGTAGCTAGTGATACTCAAATGTCCTGATTTTTGACAAGTTGGAAATCTTGCACCAAAATGTAAAACAAGGCACTACTTCCTTTATCCAGAAAGTCTTTCTGATACAAATAAATGGGAAGATACCCCATGTCCATGGATTGGAGGATTAATATTGTTAAAATTTCCATTTTTCCAGATGTGATGCACAGATTCAGGGCAATTCATATTAAATTTCCAGTGGCATTTAGAAGAGCATCTAAAGATACCAAATAACCAAAGCAATCTTAAGCCAGAGACATCACACTATGTCATTTGAAGTCTACTGTAAAGCTAGAGTAATTAAAACAGCATGGTGCTGACATAAAAATGGACACATAGACCAGTGGAATAGTATAGAAAGCCCTCAAATAAATTCACACATTTATGGTCAGTTGATTTTTAGCAAAGGTGTTAAGAATACAATAGGAAAGGACAGTGTTTTCAATAGTCTTGGAAACTGGCTCTCCACATGCAGGAGAGTGAGACTAAAATGCTTACCTCATACTATATGCAAAAGTCAGCTCAGGATAGGGTAAAGACTTAAAGACCTGAAACTGCATATCACGATTCTCAACCTATGGGTTGCGGCCCCTTTGGAGGTCAAACAACTGTTTCACAAGGGTCACCTAAGACCATCAGAAAACACATATTTTTGAAAAACACATTTTTGCACAGATGAAGTAGCAACAAAAATAATTTATGGTTGGAGGTCACCACAACACAAGGAACTGTATTAAAGGGTCGCAGCATTAGGAAGTTTGAGAACCACTGTATTAGAGGAAAACACAGGGAATCAGGTGCTGTAGCTTATGCCTTTTGCAACTCAGGAGGCTGAGGCAGGAGGATTTCTTGAGAGCAGGCATTTGAGTCCAGCCTGGGCAATATAGTGAGACCCTGTTTCCGGGGGGGAAAAAAAAAGAAAACACAGGTAGGAGGAACTCTCCATGGCATTGATCTGAGCACTGATTTTTCTGGATATGACCTCAAAAGCACAACAACAATAACAAAAATAGACAAGTGAGATTACATCAACTTTTAAAGCTTCTGCATAGCAAAAGAAACAATCAGCATGAACAATGAAGAGACAGCCTACAGAAGATCCTTGAAAACCATATAGGGAAACAAATAACCAGATTTAAACCTGGGCAAAGGACCTGAATAAACATTCTTGAAAAAAAACATACACATGGCCAACAGATATACAGAAAAATATTCAATATCATCATTGGGGAAATCAAAACCACAATAATAGCTTTGACTAATAAAACCACATACCTGTTTGGAAACTGATTTTGTGGTGGTATAAGCTGTAGTTCCCAAACTATACACTGAGACACCACAGGGCTCCACAGTAAATTTAAAGGGTTGTTCTACATTTTGAGAATAATTCAGTGACGTCTTTCAGATACCACAGAACTATTAGATTAACAGGGAGTTCACAATTTGAACATAAAATCACACTGCACTCCTTTCAGTCGTGTGTTTTATCTGTGTGAAATAATTTTCCTTTCATTTCCTATGTTTTTCTTTTTTATAAATGACTGTTAAGTTGTTTGAATCTACCTAATTGATAAAAGATACTGTTAGATACTTACTTTGGCTTACACTATAGACTGAGAAAGTTCAGGGACTTTTAGTATAAAGCAAATGTCAGTGAATTTCAGAGTGTTGCATAGACCATGTTCTCTGACCACACATGTAATCTAATTACAAATCAGTGAGTAAGACAGTTACAAAAGCTTCACAGTGGTTGAGTTTATAAAAGTTGTAAAGTATTTCTTAAAGCATCAAAGAAATTCTATTGGATATTAAGAATACTTAAAAATGAACTGTATGAAAAATAGTACATGTGAGAACCTGTAGAATGCAGTTGAAGTGCTACTTCATGGAGAAATTCATAGCAAGATGAGAGAAGGAAGAAGTAAGCAGTACTAGGAGTTTTTAAAAGGCACATTAATTTAAAACATTTAATTTTTACTGCATAATCTCTTTAAAACAAAGTAGCTTAAAATAATAATTCAGCTAGCCATTCTGAGCTTCTAAAGTGAGGGTAATAACCACATCCACCTTTCTGGTGGGCTCCTTTATTGCCTTGGATCAGCTGGTGAGCTGGTTCATGAACAGATGTTTTAAGAGGGTCTCCTGGGCATGTCTGGCTGTTGACTTGGGGGCCCTGGTTGTGTTCCATGTAGCCTCATCCTCCAGTGGCTTAGTGTGGCTCAAGTGATGGTTTCAGGAACAAGGCGGCAAGAGAGGACCTGCCCTATGTGTGGGCACTTTTCAGGCCTGCTTGCCAAGTCACACATGGCACAGCCTTGCCTGTCATCAGTGCAGCACTGGATAGGAAGGGCAATTACTGCCATTTTTGTAAATAGACTGCTACAATTTGAATGTGAGCCTCTGGCCAGGGTACTCCTTGGTGTGGCTGGAAGGGCCTCCCTGGAAGGAACATGGACAGATTGTCCATGAGGGAGACAAGCAAGTTTTCCTTTTTCTAGTTATTCCTTCACAAAGGACAGTCGCTCATCCTAGTCTGTTTCTGTGGCTCTGTGTTTGTTAGTGGTGTATCTTTCAGTTCTTTGACCAACTGGGGACCTCCGTCTTTAGCACACTTTGGGTATCTGTGCACATCATACCACTGTCCTTACTATGTCAGCCCACTTTTCCTACATAACACTTTCCCATGTAACTACAGTGCATTTGTCAAATTAATTTAGGTTAAACTCTACCATCTAATCCATAAATCCAACTCAGATTTCGCATATTGCTCCCAATAAAGTCCTTTATAAATCTAAGATTAGACATTTTATCTAAGTGTCGTGTTTCTTCAGCTTCTTCTGGTCTGCTGTGTAAAAGAACTGTTCCTTGGTCTTTCTTTCATGATTGCGTTTTTGAAGAGTGTAGACCTGCTCATTGTGGAGTGGCACACGTGGGTTTGTCTGACTTTTCCCAGGTTAGCTATTTAAGTCAGTGCACCAGACAGGAGGCACCAAGTGTTGACTTGTCCTACACTGGTGGTGACACCTTTTGTCCCTTGGTCAAAAGTTTTCCTGCTGTTAAACTAACAAGTGTTTTGTGGAAAACCACTTGAGACTGTATAACCTATCAATGCATGGATTTGAATATTTGTAAAGTACTTTAAAAATAATTTAGAATTGGTTATTTAAGTAGTTACTAAAGAAGTGTTCTGTGATGTAAATGGAAATTAGTAAATTACTACTGATAGTGTATGTATAGGCATCGGTTTGTTTAAACGTGCTTGCTTATACACAGCACAAAAACTGGTGCCATGCAGATAAGTATATTTCCATATATACGTGTCTGAATCTTACTTTCTATTTAATCTTAAATTTAATATCAATTATTTAATGCCTCTTCAGTAACTTTCTGTTATGATCACTTTTGTAAATATATCAAACACTAGAAGTAAACCCTTTGAATTTTATGTTGAAAAGGACATTAGAGGCTCGGCACCTATAGCTCAACCCGCTAAGGTGCCAGCCACGTACACCTAAGGTGGCGGGTTCGAATCCCCAGCCCGGACCTGCCAAACAACAATGATGGCTGCAACCAAAAAATAGCCGGGCATTGTGGCGGGCGCCTGTGGTCCCAGCTACTTGGGAGGCAGAGGCAAGAGACTCGCTTGAGCCCAGGAGTTGGAGGTTGCTATGAGCTGTAATGCCATGGCACTCTACCCAGGGGGACAGCTTGAGGCTCTGTCTCAAAAAAAAAAAGAAAAAAGAAAAGGACATTAGAAATTGTTTAGTCTTTTGACCTAATTTATTTTGATTAACTCCATAAATTAAAGAGCTAGAGAAAATTGGTAATTTACATATTATGTGAAATAGCACATAATATGTAAATTACCAATGATTGAAGTCACATAAAATATAGAAATAGATTTATTAGTTTTGTTTGTAAAAGCCAAAATAGCAATAGTTTAAATCGAGATTATGGCAAGTAGGTGGTGCTTAGGTGGTGCTTATGTTGATAAGAATCCATTCTTGACATCCTTTAATACTAGAGAATTGAGCTCTTCCCATTAATCTGACTTCTTAATAAATTGGTTCAAGTAATGATTAGCAATAAGTCCATGAAAGTTAGCATACTAGTTGAAATATGTTTGCTAGGTGTTTATGATAATACTGTACCTGCAAATTTAAATCATTACTAAAGATCAGGAGGCACAGTGTTGGTCAAAACCATTACTACTTAATGAATATTGGGCGCACATGTGTTTGAAAGCTGGCATGTAAGCCAGCTGATTTGTTATCAAAGCCACAGTGTGGCCTTGTCATTGGTTTGCAGTGTGCACATTTAATTAATGCAATTCTTATGTATTTAGTATCTGTTTCACAATTGCCTAATGAAGTTGAAATAATTTTAATGGGTTTTTCTTTTTTTTTTTTTTTTTTTTTGAGACAGTCTTACTATGTTGCCCTCAGTAGAGTGCTATGGCGTCACAGCTCACAACAACCTCTAACTCTTGGGCTTAAGCAGTTCTCTTGCCTCAGCCTCCCGAGTAGCTGGGACTACAGGTGCCCGCCACGACCTCCGGCTATTTTTTTGCTGCAGTTGTTGTTGTTGTTTAGCGGGCCCTGGGCCGGATTTGAACCCACCTGCCTTGGTGTACATAGCCAGTGCCCTAACCACTGAGCTATGGGTGCCAAGCCTAATGAGTTTTTCATTAACAACAGCCTTCATGACTTCTTGAAGCATTTATTGGTTGCCTTTCAGAACAAAAGAGATGAACATTTACTGAAAAAGAGAAATGTTCCCCAGGAAGAAAGTTTAGAAGATTCTGATGTTGATGCTGATTTTAAAGCAGTAAGTTACCTTGTTTTTCTAAAACATCTTTAAAATAATTTTTACAACTGTGAGAACTTCATTTTTAATAAAGGAGCAATTCTATAATGATATTTTAACTTTAGCAGATACATTATTTAACTAATGTGATTTTGCTAATAAACTCTGCTGAATTATCTTTTTTCTTTTTAAGCAAAATGTAACACTAGAAGCTATATTGCAGGTATGTTATTAATTTACTATTCTTATTTTGAAGTGTTTGAAATTGCTTTTTTATTTTCTGAAATTTACATTTGGTATTACAGAATGCCACAAGTGATAACCCAGTGGTCCAGCTGAGTGCTGTCCAGGCAGCAAGGTAAATATTAGTTTGTCCAAAGAGAGCATTGTGTTGGCTGATAGTCTAGAAGCTGTCATTGTTATTTCTGTTCATTCGAGAATTATACCAATTAATTTCCTTATATTGCTTTTTCTAGAAAACTCTTATCCAGTGACAGAAACCCACCAATTGATGATCTAATAAAATCTGGGATTTTACCAATTCTAGTTAAATGTCTAGAAAGGGATGATAAGTAAGTATGGATTTGACTCTCTGTTTACTTTTGGTCATTAAACTTAAAATTTAGTATTGTTATTTAATCAGTGGATGAAGTTCGGTTTTGCATATATAGTGTTTTTTCAGTTGTCATGCATTTTTATGTAATTTTCTTATTCTGTGATCAAATTCAGTAGTTACAAAGTGGTTCTCTTAGTTTCTGAAGTATGTATATATTCTCTAGGAAATATTTAGTTCTTGTTTATTGCCTGTTCTAACTTATCTCAAATATTGAGTCTTTGTTAGGATTTTTTATTAGTAATATTTAAAACAACCCAAATAGTATTTGAGTCACTCTTTACTTATGAGTCTATATATAGATTAACCTCATGACTGAGTCAACATGAATGTTTTCCAGAGCTAAGTGGCACTCTCTTTCCCTGGGAATTTTTCAGCTGATCACTTATCCTCTGTGTAGTCTTTAACAGTATTCCAGCTACGATTAGGTGTCCAACATATGGTTTTTCATTTCTGGTAAATTAAGAATAAGGGGACAAGTTATACTTATCCAGAATAGAAGGGGGAAATACTGTTTGGTGGTATCTTGATGAATTGGTCATATTTCCATTTATGTTTAGAGATATCCTCAGTCCCATGTCTTAAACTTCATCAGTTTGAATTAACTAGATAGAATGTTAAGTGCGAATTCTAAAATATCTAAAAACAAATGCTGTTTTTGCATTTAAGACCATTTACACTGAAACTTGAGATATTTCCTAAATGTTGTCCAAGGAATTTTCACTTGACTAGGTAAGACTAGCAGTATGTAAATGTTGCTGCTAAAGTTAAAAATACCCTGTGCTTTCATTGTGTGCCCCAATACTCCTTTCTACTGCCCTGCAGACCCTTAACACTTTTTAAAATACTGTCATATATATTTTCTATGACAATGTTTATTTAAGTAAAGGTAAGCTTTATTTTAGCTGTTTAAAAAATAAATTCAATCCTACATCCTCTTTTAGGGACCCCATTTTGTTCCTGGTCTTCCCTCCCTTCCTTCCTTCATCCTTCCTCCCTTCTCCCTCTCTTCCTTCCTCCTTTCTCCTTCCTTCCTCCTCACTTCCTTTTCTCTCCAGCTTTTGTCATAAACTCATTTGTGTGGATGTATTTCTGAAACATAGCATATATACAGAAAAGTATACTAAAATATACAGCTTAATGAATAATTATAAAACACAGACCTCTATAACCACCACTCAAAGCAAAAATAAAAAATTTTCAGTGATTTAGATCTGTCTGTATGGGAAGTTGTTACAAGTATAAAAGACCATAGACTTTGGAACCATATGGCCCCTGGTTTAAATCCAAGCTTTGCTATTGATGAAAACCTAGGCGGTTGGGCAAGGTGGCGGATGGATTGCTTGAGTTCAGAAGTTTGAGACCAGCCTGAGCAAAAGCAAGACCCCATCTCTAAAAATAATAGCTGGGTGGTGTGGTAGGCACCTATAGTCCCAGCTACTTGGGAGGCTGAAGCAAGAGGATCACTTGAGCCCAAGAGTTTGAGGTTGCTGTGATGCCGCGGCATTCTGCCAAGGGTGACAAAGTGAGACTCTATCTCAAAAAAAAAAAAAGAAAAAAAGGGAAACTCTGGTGGCTCTTGAATCTTATCTGTAATAATAGGTGGCAGGACTAGCTTGGTGGCTCATGCCTGTAATCCCAGTACTTTGGGAGGCTGAGATGGAGAATTGCTTATAGCCAGCAGTTCAAGATCAGCCTGAGCAACATAGGAAGACCCCTTCTCTACAGAAAGTTTAAAAAATAGCCATGTGTGGTGGTGCATATCTGTAGTCCCAGCTATTTGAGAGGCTGAAGTGGGTAGATCACTTGAGCCCCTGAGCTCAAGATTGCAGCAAGTTGTGATAAGCAAGACCCTGTCTCTTACCCCAAAAAAAAAAAAAGAAAGAAAGAAAGAAAGAAAAAAAGAAGGAAGTGGTAAGGAATGGAAACAATGTTTATAATAAAATACTTTATACAATATTAAGCTGAAAGTAAATGTTCATTTATTATTTACTTAGTGCACTTGTGTATTTTTTCTGTGTCTTCTCTTATTCTCTTTTTTACAACACATTTGAGAAAACTTTCCCTGGCTTTGTAATTTTTGTTTTTTATTTCTATCTATTTTCTTCTTCTTTTTTTTTTTTTTTTTTGACAGAGCCTCAAGCTGTCCCCCTGGGTAGAGTGCTGTGGCATCACAGCTCACAGCAACCTCCAACTCCTGAGCTCAAGTGAGTCTCCTGCCTCAGCCTCCCAAGTAGCTGGGACTACAGGTTCCCGCCACAATGCCTGGCTATTTTTTGGTTACAGCCATCATTGTTGTTTGGTGGGCCCAGGCTGGATTGGAACCCGCCACCTTAGGTGTATGTGGCTGGCACCTTAGCCACTTGAGCCACAGGCACTGAGCCTCTATCCATTTTCTTAATTAAGGCCCCTGTTACCAGTATTTTGCCAGACCAGCTATCTTACTAGTTCTTTTTTATTCCAATGTGGGACAATATATGCCATCTGTCATCTTTGATCTTATTGTTCCTTTACTTCTCTGTTAGTGATAGCTTCTTTGTTTTGTTTGTTTTTGTTTTTTGAGACAGTGTCTCATTCTGTTGCCCTGGGTAGAGTGCCATGGTGTCAAAGCTCATAGCACCCTCGAACTCCTGGGCTCAAGAGATCCTCCTGCTTTAGCCTCCAGAGTAGTTGGGACTATATGCATGCAACACCATGTTCAGCTAGTTTTTCTATTTTTAGTAGACACAGGGTCTCACTCTTGCTTAGACTGGTCTCGAACTCCTGAGCTCAAGTGATTCTCCTGCCTTGGCCTCTCAGAGTGCTGGGATTACAGGTTTGAGCCTCTTCACCCAGCTCTGATAACTTCTTATTTACTTCATTCTACCAGAATTCATCATATACAAGAGAACTTCAAAAAGTTCATGGAAAGATGGGATTAAAAGATTAAAATAGAAAATACAAACTTTTTTTTGTTGTTGTTGTTGTTGCAGTTCGGCCGGGTCTGGGTTTGAACCCACCACCCTCAGTATAATGGGGCTGTCACCCTACCAGACACCTCCCTTTATTTCTTAACATATGTTTCATTAAGGTCAAGATACTTTTGTTAAGTGCTGATAGCAGCTATTTAGTCCACACCTACAGTACTGAGGGTCCTGAGTCTTCTGCCGTGCCTTTGCAGTCTTCTTCACGTATAAATTGAAGGAAAATCAGTGCTCTTTATAGATTTTTAAAGATTAGGAAACCAAAAGAAGTTAAGAGCCAAATCAGGTCTGTAAGATGGATACCTAATGATTCCCCATCCAAACTCATGAAATAGCCCTTATTTGATGAGAGGAATGAGCAGGAGTGTTGTTTTGGCAGAAGAGGAGTCTCTGTGAAGCTTCTCCAGAGAAGCTCTAAACTAACTTTCTTTTGTTTACTAAAGCTCTGATTTCTCCAGACACTCTCATAATAAGCAGATGTTATTGTTCTTTGGCCCTTCAGAAAGTCAGCAAGCAAAATGGTTCGAGTGTTCACAGAAACTGTCACCATGACCTTTGCTTTCAACCTTCTGCTTTTGGTTTGCCTGGACCACTTCTGCCTCTTGGTAGCCGTCACTTTGACTGTGCTATATTTTCAGGCTCACATTGGGAAAACCATGTTTCTTCTTCTCCTGTTACAGTTCTTCAGAGAAATGCTTCAGGATCTTGATCCTCTTGTTTAAAATTTCTGTTGAAAGCTGTATACTTGTCTGCAGCTGATCTGGGCACAGTGGTTTCAGCACCCATTGAGCATAAAGTTTGCTCAACTTTTATTTTTCAGTTAGAATTACATAAGCTGAATCTTTGGGGATATCTGTGGTGTTGGATATTTTGTTTGTTCTGTCAATCATTAGTCTTTAGTTAGGGGATGAACAAGATTAATTTTTCCTTGCAAATTGATATGGATGATTTGCCACATGCAGGCTTCATCTTCATCATGGTCCTGTTCCTTCTTATCAGCTACCCCTTCCAAGGGGTAGGGGCCAGAACCCTTGAGATCAGGAGTCAAAGACCAGTCTGAGCAAGAGGGAGACACTGTGTCTAATAAAAATAAAAAAATTAGCCAGGTGTGCCTATAGTCCCAGCTACTTGGGAGGCCGAGGCAGGAGGATTGCATGAGTCCAGGAGTTTGAGGTTGCTATGAGCTGTGACGGTGCCATGGCTTTCCAGCCTGGGCAACAGAGTAAGAATCTGTCCTTAAAAAAAAATGGGTTATCAAGTTACCTTTTTGTAAATATTGATTTCTTTGGGACACTACTCCTATAAACTGTTCATAAAGCATCAGTGACATCACCATTCTTCTACCCAGGCTTTACCTGGTATTTGATGGTTCTTCTCTCTTCCATTTTACCAGAATTCATATTGCTCTTTCTGGGCTCTTTTCCAACTATTGTCTTATCCTTTTTAGTGCTTTAGTCTAGATCCCGACCAAACATGTTATGACAAGTTAGTAGAAGTTTATTTTGGTGCAAAAAAAAATTGAAATCCATGCATAGTTTTTTTATAATACACATTTTACATGAGATTTTCAAGTCCCTGCCTCATAGTTTTTATCTGCTGTTGCATTTTCTCATCTGTTCCATGTTTTTGACCTGTACAGTAGATTTTCCTTGCTTACTGCTTGCTTAAGGAAAAATAAAATATATTTATTCCCCTTAAAACCTTTTCCTTCTTGGATCTAACCATTGCTGTTAACAACTTCACTTGTTTTCTTTAATGTTTATAGACTTTTCTTTTAATTCTTAACCTTTTGGCTTATCTTAGTTTTTTCTGACTAACCTCTACTATCCTGCTAGTCTACTTAAGGGAATTTATATTCTTTCAACTGTCTATCCTAACTTGACTTTGATAATTTCTTTTTAGCAGGTCTCTCCTACGTGTTTTTTAACAGGTTTCTTCGTCAGCCTTTAGCCTTTTCTATTCATTCTGCATACTATTGACTTCAACATTATTTCTGTCACTCCCCTATACTTAGTATGTCTATAGAATAAGTTCTAAGTTCGGAAGCCTAAAATTTGAGGTACACACTGTATTCTCGTCTCCCAACACACACACACATCCTATGATATTTTTGCATGTCTTCTTAGCTTCAGCTCTCATGCTGTAATCCTTGTCAACTGTGGATACCATGATTATTCTGTCTGTGATACCTTTTTTATTTCCACCTGTCAGTGTCTTTCTTTTTAAATCCATCTTTGAAAAGCTGTTTTCACGGTCAGGTGTGGTGGCTCATGCCTGTCATCCCTGCACTCTGGGAGGCTGAGGCAGGAGGATCACTTGAGCTCCAGAGTTCAAGACCAGCCTGAGCAAGCGTGAGACACCCCTCCCCCCTGGACTAAGGATAGAAAAAATTAGCCAGGTGTAATGGTGGGTGCTTGTCCTAGCTACTCAGGAAGTTGAGGCAGAAGGATCACTTGGGCCCAGGAGTTTGAGGTTGCTATGGACTAGGCTGGTGCCATGGCACTCTAGCCTGGGGCAACAGAGTGAGACTGTCTTTTTTTTTCTTTTTCTTTTTTTAAATTAAATCTAGACTCTGTCTTTTAAAAAAAAAAAAGGCCATTTTCACTTTCTTTGAGAGGTCTGTTCTAAAATAAAATGATCTCTTTGTTTCAGCAAAATTATTCAGTATTGTAATAGCTCCATTATGTGAAGATGGTGCAGTAGTGTCAGATAGGGTCTCATCTGTCAGATCAGCTTAACAGTGGTTCTCAACCTTCCTAATGCCATGACCCTTTAATACAGTTCCTCATGTTGTGGTGACCCCCACACATAAAGAGTGGTGTCTCAGTTCCTAAGACCAGGGGTTCTCAAACTTTTTAAACAGGGGCCAGTTCACTGTCCCTCAGACCATTGGAGGGCCAGACTGTGGGCCCCGGGATGAGTTGGCTGCTAAGCAGGACAGACAGCAGGGGCAAAAACACCCAGCGGGCCGGATAAATGTCTCAGGTGCCCACATGTGGCCCGAGGGCTGTAGTTTGAGGACTAGTTAGAGGACGCTGTCTAAGACCATTGGAAGTATGTGTTTTCTGATGGTCTTAGGCGACCCCTGGAAAGAGGTTGTTTGACCCCCAAAGGGATCGCAAGCCACAGCTTGAGAACTGCTGGCTTACAGGCTGGGCAGTGATTCAGGTGAGACGATGAACCCTCAACTAGCCCAGTGATAGTAAGAGTGATTCTGTAAATGTGAGAAATATTTAGGAGGCAAAATTGACTTAAAAAGAGTCAAGGGGGAGATAATGACTGGCTAAACCTTATAATATGAGTGGACACAAAGATACAGGTGTACAGTGACTTGCCTCGGGAGCCTGAGATTTTTTGGTAGAGATAACCAGTAGACAGTTGTTACAACGTAGTGGAATCCAAGGACAAGGTAAGGCATATACTATATAGATCATAAGTTTAAATGGTAGTTATGTGTCTAAAAAGATGTTTTAATTGTTTTTTATAGTCCTTCATTACAATTTGAAGCTGCTTGGGCATTAACTAATATAGCATCAGGAACATCCACACAGACTCAAGCTGTTGTACAGTCTAGTAAGTAAATTGAATTCCTCACTCTCTGAACTGTTTTGTTAAATGACAAGGAAGTGGAGTTTTGTAGTAAATAATGAATTTTATCTTGTGACGTTTTTTAAATGATAAATTTTATAAATTACTTTGAATGATTAATATATTTTCCTTAGCTCTATCATTAATTTAATCATTCAATAATTGTAATTGTGCTTACTGAAAAGAGGAAGGTTTTATCTTTCAGGATAGAGACCATCTTCTAATAACAGGAGTTTAAATTTCTGTTTCTTATATCTTAAAGATGTTAAGTCACTTCTGCCTTTTAGGTTATATATATTTTTTAAATTTGCTTACCTCAAGATGAGTTATTATCATTAGTATATTGACTGATACATTATTAGTATATTGACTGAAATTGACACAAGCTCTTTGAAAAAATATTGGAAGGCTTGAATGTGGTGGCTCATGCCTGTAATGCTTGAATTCTGGGAGGCTGAGGTGGGAGGATCACTGGAGGCCAAGTGTTGGAGACCAGTATGAGCAAAGGGAGACATTGTCTCTAGTAAAACTAGAAAACTCAGTGGGGCTCACATAGATAGTTTCAGCAGCTCAGGAAGCTGAGACAGGAGGATCACTTTGACCCATGAGTTTGAGGTTGCTGTGAGCTAAGCTGAGGCCACGGCACTGTAGGCCCAGTGACAGTGGGACTCTGTCTCCAACAAAACAAAACAAAATACTAGATATCGGCAAATACATTGTTTCTTATAGTACAGGACCCTAGCTTTAGGTGGTAATCAGGGTGTAGCAGTGAGTTACGTAGAATCATGTGGTAAGTATACTATTTTCTTAGTTCTTTTCCTAGATATTTTAATAAGGTATATTCAGGAGAAAATTTCCAGTTACGGTTATTCATAATAAGAAGGAAACGGGTTTTAGTTGGGAACTTTCAATAGAAACTAGGAGGTACAATTGAAGAAAATTGTTCTCTTTTCATTGTTTATTTCTTGGTTATCTTCTCTTTGTACAAAGTGATAGTGTTCTTCTATTTATAGGAGTGAGAAATTCAGTTAAAAATATGAGTCTATGGAAGCCTTCATCTGTCCCTGGTGAGATTGTAAAATGGTACAATCTTTTTGAAAACCAGTTTCTTAAAATACTAAACAGAGTTATCTATGAACCAGGAGTTCTACTCTTAGGTGAAACCAAGAGATAGAAAAACATGTCTACACGAAGACATGCATACAAATATACACAACAGCATTCTTCATAAATAACCATAACGTCCACTAATGAGTGGCTAAATGAAGTGTGCTCCACTATGGAATACCATTCAGTAACAACAGCGAAGCACTGACCTGCTGCAGCAACGACAAGCCTCAGAAACATCATGTTAAGTGAAAGCGGCTAGACTCACGGCAGCACGTGCAGAAGAGTTTCATTGGTGTTAGATGTCTGGAGCAGGCAGACCAGGAAAGACAGAGAGGGCTGGGGGAACTTAGGAACATATTTCACATTTGTTCAAATTTCCAGTGAACTATAATTAGGCAGCTTCAGAATGCCAAGCTCTGTGTATTTTTTCAACTTATTAGGCTGAAATCTGTAAACTCTTTAACATTTTGCCCATATAAATGTTTTTTTTTTTTGTTTTTTTTTTTATTACAGATGCAGTACCCCTTTTTCTGAGACTTCTCCATTCACCACATCAAAACGTTTGTGAACAAGCAGTATGGGCTTTGGGAAACATTATAGGTAAGTTGCATTTGGGTTTGAAAAGACTCCAATTAAGAATCTAAATTAACCTTCTTCTTACATTGGCATAGCCATTACACACACTATGTTTCCTCTGAACTTAAGGTGGGTTGACTATCTTTTTTGCCTCATAAATGCTAACTTAAAGTGATACCTCTTTGCAAAGGGTATACAATTTGCTATCAGCATGGGTAGGTTAAATCTGTGTTCCCCAAATCAAAATCAGAGAAATAAGAACCCTTGATGCTTTTGACTAATAGTGAGGAAACATAGAACATCAGTGTCCCCACATAAGCCATTGCATACATTTCAGACTTTCTCATCCTGAATGTAAGCTTTTGTTAAATACAATTTTCATTTCTGTAGGTGATGGTCCTCAATGTAGAGATTATGTCATATCACTGGGAGTTGTCAAACCTCTTCTGTCCTTCATCAATCCCTCCATTCCCATCACCTTCCTTCGGAACGTCACATGGGTCATTGTCAATCTCTGCAGGAATAAGGACCCCCCACCGCCTATGGAGACAGTTCAGGAGGTAAATGAAGAATTGTAAAGGCCAGATGGTATATTTTCCCTATGTTTATACTTTAGGTATTCACGTACAGAGGATTAAAATACCACGTATACTTATTTCACTGCAAATATGTGATTTTTGAAGTAACATAGTATATTTAATGACTGGCTCCTGTGAAATAAAAGCTGAATGTTTTATGATAGCTGAAAGAATATCAATCTATCCTAACACTTATTTTTTAATGACTTTCCATTAAAAGAAAGCATTAAATACAAACAGAAATATGAAAAAAACTCAAAAGTTTTATACGGCATGTCATTATTGATTTAATGCTAAATGAAAATAAGGAGTTGCTACAGATAAAACTGTACTCATCAAATATACTTGAGTGAGTTTGCATTAAGTCCAATTGATTTCTGTCAGAACGAGTGTTACTAAAGTGTGGTATTCATTGTGTTAAACCTACTGATTAAGAAAAGTAAAAACTATTTACATTTAACATGTAAATGGTTCTGAATATTCTGCGTTTTAAACAGTCTCACATAAACCTTATTGACATAACTGTAGAAAACGATTGACTGTGTAAAATGCACATCTTCTCTGGGGCCTGCTCTCTTGTGTTACATAAAGGTATTCAGTGTGATTCCCACTCCTCCTTTCTACCTCTCACCCCCTAGATTTAAAAAGAGATCTCTGGGGCCTGAATTCAACAAACATGGCCTTATGCTTCATACTGGTTAGATTTTCTTGACTGAAGCTGAGGTCAGAAACGTTAACTTAAGTAGTTTATTAAAGACAATAATACCTCAAGAAATTTTACCTTAAGCAGGTGAGTGAAACAATGATGGCAATTTTCTGAGTGGCTTTTCTTAACTGTATCCTTGCATCTCCATTTTTTCCACTTGACATTACGTCATAAGGTTATTGAAAACAAATGTTCTTTTTTTAAAGCATAAATCCCCAGTAAATCTCTGCCATATTTATTAGAATGTTTTAATTGGAAATTTGAAATAGGTTTTTTGTTTTTCAGATTGAATTTATCAGATTTTCATTTTCCTAATAGACGTTAAAGCAAATTTAACATTGTCTTTCTTGCCCTATAAACAGTGTTTACTGCTTTTTGTGCAAGTTGTTTATTTTCACAAAGACATTTATCTACTCTAGGGTTACTTACTGTTCATCTTTTTTTCTCAGATTTTGCCAGCTTTATGTGTCCTCATATACCATACAGACATAAATGTAAGTAAAGCAAAAGCTTTATATAATAGGTTTAAGAAGTTGAAGGGTGTGTTTGTATGTGTGTGTGTTTGCCAAAGTTGTATGTACTTTATCATTGGGGTGAAGAAAATGCATCTTGGCTTACATTTCTCACAAGTCAGTATACTTCGTATATAAAAACTGAATCACATTTCTCTACCTCAGTTTAGTAACTAAATTCAGGTTTTGTTTATGACATATTAGCCTGAAATGTCACTAACATTAAGTAAAACATTTATCTACTGTCCTGTTTTCAGAATGGACATAAAGTGACTTAAAAGACACAAGACAGTAAGTGTCTTAAAGGGAAGAAAGAAATAGTAAAATTACACAAAAGTTTAGTTGTTGCTATTGCAGCCAGTCCAGAGTCTATCACAGCAATACCCCTACACTCACCCCACCCAATGTGCACCCAGCTTGATGTCTACCGGACACTGGCAACTGTTTCTAAAATGCAAAAGAAAGCCACTGGTTTTCAGGAAAATACTCCCATCCCTGACCCCTTTCAGAGCTGGGCTGCCTATGCTATTGAATTCTTAGCTTTCTGACACCTAAGATTAAAATTAGGAGAGTAAGCAAAATATCTGCTGTTTGCATAAGGACTTCCCCCATGACATCATGGAATTAATTATGGACAAACAAAAGCTTCCATCATCTTGTTGGTCAAGTTTATGTGAAAGCCAGAGGTAATAAAGTGACAGGGAACTGTAGTTACAGGTAAATCTGTGAAGTTTAGCAAATACTCAGGGACTGTTCCACTTAAAACCCTGGAATGTGCCTTGAATGTGGGCTCAGAGATATGGAAGACACTGGGGGACCCTTCTAAGACCTCAACACTGAGAGCAGGTAAAGAGAATGGAAGGAGCGAACTTCTGTCAAGAGCTTGCTCTAAGTGTCTCTCTCTAGTCTTTTTTTATCGTACGAGTACTCTTATAAGTTTTATTCTCCTATTTTATGTATGAGGAATTTGAAACTTGCTAAGTAATCTTAGTAAAGTCATGCAATGCATAAGAGCTATAGCGGAGATTTGAAGCCAGGTCCAAGGCCTGTGCTTTTTCATGACATGATCACATGAACATTCAGTGTAATATGAAAGCAAACAAGAAAATGAAGAGTATAGCAGAGGAATGACCAAAGTGTATGGAAACGCAGATGATTTTGTCTGGCAAAGCAGAAAGGTACTAACATTTAAGATGAGCATTCTAAGGAAGGAAGTAGTGATAGGTTAAAGATGATTTTGTTTGTATTAGCATTTATTGAAAGTACAATTTGTGAGGCACTGTTTTAAGCACTTTTCATATGTTAACCCATTTCATCCTTTAAAAAATCCTGTGAGTAATATTGTCATTCTCTCCATCTCCATTATCTCTAAATGTGGTGGTAGAGGTAGAGGTAGTTTAGTAATTTGTCTGAAGTCATAGAACTAGATGAACAGGATTTTGTCAAGTTGAAAAACTCATTTTAGGAACACGAGGAATGATACTAAGGACTCCAGAGAGTTAATGGAGATTTTAGAAAATTTAGGTAGATAATAATCCAGTACATTTCCCAGGGCATTAGTTTGCAGAGTTTTAAATTCTGTGTTAAGTAGTTTTCTCTTATCTCATAATGACTGCAGAGTCATTGAGGATTTTTAAATAGAGATGTGATATATCTGTTATACACCTATACAATTATATGTAACAGGTAAAAAGGTATGGATGGTTTGGAGCGTGGAAAGTCTGAATGTAAGTAGACCTATTTTGCTATTCTAATAGGTTTAAGGAAATTGATGAAGGCATGAACTACAGCCAGTAACAAAAGGAATAGTTAAGGGAGGAAGAATTAGAGGGTTAGGTGGAGCAGAACTTAGAATTTGTTTGTTGGTGGCAGTATTTCCAAGAAACAAAAGGCAATATAGATTTGGGATTTATCAGTATTTAAGGGATTGATGAAAATACAAGTAATGAGTAAGATTGCCTAGGGAAAGCTGTATTTCAGAAAAAGGTGTAAAGTTAACTCTAAGAATTCCCTACATTTGAGCAGTAGCAGCAAGGGAAGAAGAGCCAAAATAGGAATTGCTTTTGTTTTTTGAATTTCTTTTTTTTAAATATCAGGTTAATGTAAGAGTACAATCAGGTCACAATATTTGAATTTGTTAGATAGAGTCCCTCTTGTAGTTGTGTCCTGCACCCAAAGATGTGTCATATACCCCTACATTGTGCCCATTAAGTGGGAACACCTCAAACTCCCCCCACCTCTAGGTTGAATTGAAATGAGTTTTTCTTCTAGGTGGGTGTGAGTTAGATCGTCTATTAGCTTCGTAGTAGTATCGAGTACATTGGATGCTTGCTTTCCCATTCTTGTGATACTTTACTGCAGTGGTTATCAACCTTCCTAATGCTGCGGCCCTTTAATACAGTTCCTGTGGGTCATGACCCACAGGTTAAGAACCGCTGCTTTACTGAGAAGAATGTGTTTCAACTTCATCCAGGTTAGTACAAAAGACGCAGTCTCCATCTTTTCTTATGGCTGAGTAGTCTTCCATGGTATACATATACCATAGTTTGTTAATCTATTCCTGAGTTGATGGGCGTTTAGGTTGTTTGCACATTTTGGTGATTGTAAATTGAGCTGCAGTAAAAAATCTAGTGCAGATGTCTTTATGATAAAATGATTTTTTTTCTTCTGGGTAGATGCCTAGTAGTGGGATTGTGGGGTCAAATGGGAGATCTAATTTTAGTTCTTTAAGGATTTTCCATGCTTCTTTCCAAGTTTTCAGTCTGACAAACAGTGTAAAACTCTTCCCCTCTCTTTACATCTAGCATCTACAGCTTTGGGACTTTGTGATGTGACTGGGGTTGGTGGTATCTCAGGGTGGTTTTGATTTGTATTTCTCTGATGATTAGGGATTGTTTGCTCTTTTTGCTGATTAATTTGAGTTCTCTACAGGTCCTGGTTATCAACCCTTTGTTAGATTCTTACCCTGCAAATATCTTTTCCGAGTTTGAAAGTTGTCTGTTTGGTTTGATTGTTGTGTCCTTAGCTGTGCAGAAGCTTTTCAGCTTAATTAAATCCCATTTATTTATTTTTGTTGTTGCAATTGCCACTGAAGTCTTCATAAAATCTTTTCCCAGGCCAACATCCTTAAGAGTTTTTTTTTCACCCTTTCTTCTAGGATTTTTATTGTTTCATGCCTTAGATTTACATCTTTTATCCATCTTGAATTAATTTTTATAACTGGTGAATTGTGTGGGTCCAGTTTCAGTCTTTTACATGTGGTTATTCAGTTTTCCTAATACCATTTATTGAATGAGGGATTTTTTGCCCCACTGTATGCTGTTCTTTGGTTTATCAAAGATCAGATTATATGAGATTGCTGTGATCTCTTAGTTTTCTATTCAGTTCTTTGTGTCTATGTCTCTATTTTTGTACTGATACCATGCTGTTTTGATCACTGTAGACTTGTAATATAGCCTAAAGTCTGGTAGGGTGATGCCTCCAGCTTTGTTTTTATTACTAAAAATAGCCTTGGGTATATGGTTTTTTTTCTGGTTCCATACAGACTGAAGTACTACTTTTTTCTAGTTCTTCAAAGTATGTCAGTTGGTATTTTCATGAGGATTGCTTTGCATCTGTGGATTGCTTTAGATAGTATAGAAATTTTAACAATATTGATTCTTCCCAGCCAAGAATATCGTATGTTCTTCCATTTGTTATGTCTTTTGCTATTTATTTTCTAGGGTTTCATAATTCTCTTTGTAAAGATCTTTCACCTCTTTTGTTAGAGATATTCCTAAGTATTTTATTTTCTTTGAAGCTACTGTAAAGGAAATTGTGCCTTTGATTAGCTTCTCAACTTGACTGTTACTGGCATAAAGAAAGGCTACTGATATGTGGACATTGATTTTATATCCTGAGACGTTACTGTATTGCTTGATCACTTCCAGGAGTCTTGTGGTTGAGTCTCTGGAGTTCTCCAAATATAAGATCTTATCATCAGCAAAGAGCAAGAGTTTGACCATTCCATTTAGATGCCCTGAATAGCCTTCTCTTGCCTGATTACTTTGGCTAGAACTTCCAGCACTATGTTGAATAGTAGTGGCGATAGTGGATATCCTTGTCTGGGTCCAGTTCTAAGTTGAAAAGCTCCATTCAGTATGATATTAGCTGTGGGTTTGTTGTAGATGGCTTCAGTTAGCTTAAGAAATATGCCACCTATTTTTTTTTCTTAAGTATTCTTATTAGTAATGGATAATGTACAAGAAACTCTATGCCCAGAAATTTGACAGTGTGAAGGAAATGGACCAATACTTGGAATCACACACTCTCCCTAGACTTAGCCAGGAAGAAATAGATCTTTTGAACAGACTGTTATGAAGCACTGAGATTGAAGAAACAATAAAAATCTTCCAACAAAAAAAAAAATAAAATGCTGTGGTGCAGATGGCTTTACACCAAAATTCTATCAAATTGAAAAGGAAGAAATCTTCCCCACCACATTCTATGAAACAAGCATCACCCCAATGCTAAAACCAGAAAAAAACCCAACTAAAAAGGAGAGAACTATAGACCAACTTCACTAATGAATATAGATCAAAAAGTATGCAAGAGGCCAGGCACATTGGCTCACACTTAGAATCCTAGTACTCTGCAAGGCCGAGGCAGATGGATTGCTTGAGTACACAAGGTCAGGTCTAGCCTGAGCAAAAAGTGAGACCCCATCTCTACTACAAATAGAAAAAACTGAGGCAAGAGGATCATTAAGCCCAAGAGTTGGAGGTTGCTGTGAGCTCTGACACCATGGCACTACTGTTACCCATAACAGCTTGAGATTCTGTCTCAAAAAACAAAACAAAACAAAAAATCCCCCAAAATACTCAAGAAAATCTTAGCAATAGATTACAACTACACATTTAAAAAATTACACGTCATGATCAAGTTGGCTTCATCCTAGAGATGCAAGACTGGTTTAACATATGTAAATCCACAAATATAATTTA